AAAGTATATATTGTTCTTTTTTGCACTTGAGGCGCGGTAGCTAAAAGACTGAGCGCTGACTTGGGCAAACTATCAAGGAGGCTTATGAACAGCAGTGGACTTATGAAAGGATTTAATAAATGTAAACCCTGAGACTAAAACCTGAAACCTGAGAGGCGCAGTTTCAGAGCTTCGCTACCTTGCACTGACTTGTTCAATTCGTCACTCTATAAATACGAATGTAGGACAAATACGTTTATTCGTTTCCTAAATCTTGAAAAGCAAAGTGCTAAGAAAATATTTAAAAAAATATAAACAGATAGTATATAACACAAATTATAGTGAGTCAGTGTTATTTTGTTTGAGAGTGCTGTAGAAAAGTAAGTACATTATTTTTTATTAAATTTTAATTTTGTACTCGTAGTTAGCAAAGATAGATAAATTAACTAAAACCCAATACTACTAATAACTAAAGCCAATCATAACTTTAGTTATTAGTAGTTTAATATTCAATCATGCAAAATTACACGAGTACTCCTCAATAGTTTATTATTGAAAGTTTTAGCAATCGGTTTTATAATTACAGTGCAATCTCCGTAATTCGAGCTAATTGTTGCAAGAAGATGTTCGAATTATGGAATGTTTTCGGAAAAATCAAAAAATATTTTTAATATACAGCTGCTTGATTTTTTGTCTTATTTAAATAATTTAATTTTGCCCACAGATGACCGATGCCATACACTACAGTGTCGATTATTTGAAATTTGGCATCATTCCATCATTGCCGGACAAACAATTGCCTATGTGCCTTCTTATGTAATTATTTGAAAGCTTCTTATGTAATTATTTTCAAACGACCCATTTCTCTACACAACTGAACGAGTCAACTTTACCTGATAATGCAGCATTATTATTGGCATATGTTCGTTTTATTATGAATCAAGAAATCTACGAAGAACTGCTCTTCGCAAGAACTTTGATAACCGACACTAAAGGTGAATCAATATTTCATATTTTGAAGGATTACTTCATTGAAAAAGCAATTCCTTTATCAAATATAATATCAGTAGCTACAGATGGAGCACCTGCCATGGTTGGACGTTATCGTGGATTTATAAGCTATTTAAAACAAAATGTGTCAGGGGTGTTAGCAATACAGTGCGTCATCCATTGACAACATTTAGTTGCTAAAAAATTGAGTGTTAGATGCATGATTCCCCTCATTTAGTTATTGATGCAGTAAACCGAATCCGAAGCAGCGCGTGGAATACGCGGTTATTTGCGCAGTTGTGTGAAGAAAATGACGAACACTTTCATCAATTACTCCTTCACACTGAAGTACGCTGGCTGTCAAAAGGCTTATGTTTGACAAGATTTTTTGTACTTTTTGAGACTATTTTAGAATTTCTGGATACTAAAGATAAAATTTTAAAAGAAAATTTAATGAAGAGGAAAACAGACATCGCCTATTTAACAGATTTGTGACAGTTTAAATTTGATTAAAAATCCATCTTATCAACGTTTCTTGCCAGAGTTAAACTAATGAAGCAAAATATTGGACGGGGCGAATTTTCTCAGTTCCCCAATCTGTCAACGACGTTTTTGTTGAAGACGACGTTTCAACTTACGTTCAACATTTAAATGCCATCTATTCAGATTTTGAATCTAGGTTTGAGGATATTTTGACTATGGTAATACCACCATGGATAATTAAATAAATGGTGACATCGAAGAAACGAATGTCATAATACAAGAGGAACTGACTGAACTAAGTACAAACGAAGAACTTAAGGTTCAGTTTAAAAACGGATATCAGCAATTCTGGCTGCAAAACAACATACCCGTTATAAAAGTAAGTTATAACTTTATATATAATGTAAATTTCACACAGTAAGGTAGTTTAAACAAATGGTTTAACAAATGGTTTTTTTAATCCCAAGAAAACCCAATCCCAAGTTGTGTTAAATAATAATGTTTATGTCCAGCGTTTGCTCGCAAGACGCCCAGATATGGCTGCGACTAATAGCGCTGTGGCGAGCTAAAGTTCTTGTAGGTGCAATCCAGTGTAAACTTTGTTTTTTTAAGCTATTATTTGTTCTTACAAAGGGTCAAAGTAGTTATAGTAAGAACAAACATGTTCTCTCTATAAGCAAAATTTGTTGATATTATTTTAGTAGTTTTAGTTAATTTTGTTTTAGTCTCAAATTATATACAAATTATATTTTATGCTTACAATTGCTGTCTCTTGGTGGAGTTCAATTGTTAATTAAATGAAAATACTTATTATAATTAAGTTCAATTTCGTCTTTTACAACCTTTGAAAATTACTTAAAATTTGAAACCCGGGTTACTCGAAACTTCCGGCTAACTTTGTTACAGGAGCTGCAACTGCTGCAGCGACTATCTGCTTGTTTGTCACTTTATGTTAATAATACTATTTTAATGTCTTATATATATTTTTATTTATTTTTTCAACATTAACACGCAAAAACCATTGGGTGCGTTTGGCAGAAAAAAGCGCTTGCAAGCGCTTGTAAGCAAAATGGCGATCGTAAGCGGTAAGCGCTGTTAAATCGTAAATAGCTATTTTCCTCAAGGACACGATGTTAGTTTTAACCGGGGAATCTAACCTAATTTAAATATATGTTTGTAAAGTATTCATATTAAAAAATTACCAATCATGAGTTTTTAATAGCATGTATATGTTTATTCATGTCATATATTACTTAAAACTAATATTGCACAAAACAACTTATAAACTCTACTTCAAAACAAACAAATTAAATAAGCAAAATGGCGGATTGTGTCAGCGCTACTGAAGTAGCAATCGTGTCCTGGCCGAAAACTATTTTAGCGCTTATAAGCGCTTGCTAGCGCTTTCTTCTGCCAAACGCAACCCATTAAATATCATGTTTTATCGACAAGCGACTATGGCAGAGTATTTTCAGAGGCAGAATAAGAAATTGACTTCGTATTATGTAACTATCAGAAACGCCTTTGTCGTAGCCTGTTTTGATGATAAATAAAAACCGGAATAAATATTATTATGTCTGGAGGACAAAATTGCACGTATGAGAACGCAAAAAGTTTATTCATACTATATCAGTGATATATAAAGTAGATTTTATAATAGTTTGATATGATGATTATTAATACGATAGTCCAATATAGTGGTGCAACACTGGCATATGATAGTTAAAAATATAAATACAGATTGTAGCTTTCTATATAAAAATTACGTGCCACATTATTTGTATGCGATGACTTTCTAAACTACTGAACTTATTTCAATGAAATTTTGCATACTGTGGTCCAACTCGAGAGAAAGGATATTTTATATTTCAATAAGTGACCTTGAATATTTTTTATTGCGAATATAAGGATTTCTTAATAGGAGAAAGAGTTGTCGAAAATGGCAGAACATCGTCTGGCTGGGCAGCTAGTAAAAATATAAATTATGTAGTAAAGTCAGTTATAATTTAAATACGTCCACAACCAATATAAGGTGAAACATAATGCGGAAAGGCTTAATAGAGTAACGGCTTAAGTGACGGCTGTGGAGCTACAAATGGCGAGTTTGATTACAATTAAGGATAGTATTTATAAGGCATGCAAAGAACTGGGTGTTTATCCTAGTACAATATAGATAATAATATGTAAACCCCCCGTACGACAAGTTCTTGGTATTGAGATTTTTAAATAATAAACAAAGACTTGTTTGACCAAGATCCTGATCTTGTATGCGGTAGGAACCTTTGGGTGATAAATATATTGGAATAATCGAATCTCAAAAATGAAAATTTTACCCTTTAATTGCATTTGCACATAATTCAAGAAATTTAAAGATGATATAAAATTTCTTTATTGAGAAAAGAATGCAAAATAACTGATGTTTAACGAATATAATATTGTATTATGAAATATTAAACCGCTATGAGTTATGACCAGTTCTGTTCGTTCGTTCAAAATTTAAGTTTTTGATAGACGCGGGCTATTTGTTACTGTTGCGTTTCGATTTACAGTAAAACGTAACAGTAACAAATATCCTGGGCTTACACTATTATATTTTTCTGTGTTTATATAAAAATGAAGCCGTATTCTTCCATAAACACCCTACATAAACCTTAGTTAATTGCAATTTAATAAATGTTATAGACATGTAAATTAAATGAAGACGGAAGCGAAACTGTCCAGCTAAATGAACTTTATTGCTACGTTTCTATTGAATAATGATAACTACATACATTAGCTTTGCTTCTCAACTCTATTAAGAGAAGAGGTATGTTAAAATAACGTCAGTAATAAATTAATAGTTTAAAAACACTAGAAATACATGCTTTTATAAATGCACGTAAAAACAAAAAATATATTATGGATCATTCAAGTTGTCTCTATTTCTGGGTTGAAGTGTAAACTATGCGCTTTTAATTATAATATTTGATTGAAAAAGCGTAGGGCGCTGGAACATGAAATACTTTTTGTATAACTTGCTGAGAAATCAAGTTAAGTGATGTTACGGGAAGCAGGTTACACAGATAGGCACTCTAACTGGAGTTGCATCACGACTAGTGAGTGGCTCTACATTCAACAGTCTGTTCAAAGTACCAGTTTTTTTTCTATAGGAGAGGGGACAAACGAGTGTACGGCTCACCTGATGGTAAGTCATTACCGCCGTCCACGAGCAACTGCAATATGTTAGGCAATGTCTTTAGCCTTTATATCGTACATTTGAGTACTTTTTTGTTCGTAAAATTTAAGAAATTTATTGTTGTACTTCTCTATTTGATCGTCTGTTGGATAAATACGCAGTGCTTTTTCAAGCGGAACTTGACGGTAGTATCTGATGAGATCTCAATCAGCAATACTGAGATGCTCCCTGTTTAGCTCTCCGACCCTCGCGGCGTTCAATATGTCGACGAATTTCGTGTCCCCGCGCTGGCGTATGTTTTTCTTAGTTCAACTAAAGTAAAAAACTGCCATAAGTGAGTTGGTGGTCTCATGTGGTCCGGCTGTTGAAACACCTATTTCCCATGCACTGATGGAAGCTGAATTAGGTCGCCAAAGAGCATAACGTTTATACCGCCAAAGGGATCATCGTTATTCTTTAGATGGCGTAAAGGAGCGTTTATCACGCACAACATCTCATACGGAACCTTAGATATCTCGTCCACGAACTCGTCGTCGAGAACTCTACATTTTGCCAATGTTGACGCATAATTCTCAAGTAGTTTCCAGAGCGTTGAGGCACGTTCACTAAGACGCCGTCTCTTTGAACTTGTAATCAGAGCATGCAGTGTAGAGCCACCTACTAGTCGTGCTGCAACCCCAGTCAGAGCGCCGATCTTTGTAACCTGCTTCCCGTAACATCTGTTCACTTGATTTTTCAACAAGTTAAACAAAAACGTCTTTTCTGTTTCCGTGCCACCAGTTACGAAAAGTTTAAACCTTTTTTGATCGCCTTGTTCTTGCGACTGAATGTTTGACGTGATAGTATTGAACAATTGTGTTTGGTCCATATTCATAGCCTGTCGTGATGAGTTGAATTGATCATTGGTCATAGCCTGTTCAGGATAGTCTTCATTGTGTTCTATATTTTCCAATAATTTTGGCTCTTTGAGGTCTGACATGCGTGCACTTGATTGAATGCAATTTCCAGCTGCCAGTCGCACTCTCTGTGCTGCTCCATGTGACCGATAATTGCCTCCAACTACTCTTCCCGAGCTAAGAAAGCCTCCGTTGCACTATAAAACCCTTGCAACAGTGCTGCTTCTGAGCGATAAGCTATATATAATACTGAACCATCAAACTGTAATAAAAGTTCTCCGTATCAGTGGAGGCTATGAACTATGGTACTCGAACAGCAGCAGGCACAGTTCTTACGATCATTTGCTGTTGTCTCTTAACGTAATCAATTGCCGACGTGATCTAGTTGATGTGTCCTGATTGTCTTGATTAATGCTTTCTTCGCTTTGGTTCTTCTGGTAGTAAGGGTCGAAGAGCATTCCAAACTCAGTCAGGCTCATGTTAGAGAAGCCATATGTAACACACAACAACAAGAGCTGTCACGAACTGACACAGGCGAAAAGCGAATTCTGGGGCTGATACTTGCCTTTCATGAAAAATTTTCATACAAATTTCAAAAATCTGCCGAGAAATGTCTAGCTGCTCTCGCTGTATCCGTTGAATGACTTGAGCTATTCCCGAGTCTAAATTGGTTTACTCCCCTTTCGACAAATATTTGGCGATATAGAAAGCCATCGCTTCATTCGATCCACAAGGTTGGATGTCCATATTTCCCATCCAGATTTTTAACAAATCGAGATTTTAGTTGTTCACTCACACATCTTCTATCCGACGTTTGAGCAGACATATTCTTCCTCCGTTTCGAATAAAATCGTCTCACGAATGTGCAACTATCCGAGTCTCACTGCATTCCTGTCATGGAAAATTAAATGGACACCTTACTGTTGTATTGTTTTTCGTACATGTGGGTGTGTTTATGAATCTGGCATTTTTTTTTACCAAATCATGAAGTTCTGACTCTTCATCTTGGGATGGCAACTTGCAGGAGGCGACGCGGTCAATCGGTTGATTTTCAATCCATACAACCATGTGCAGATGAGAACTGCCTCGATTCTGGTACTCAATAAGCCACCAGTGATCATTCAATTTGTCACCCAGAATGTCGTCGTTACTTTTCATATATTTTAACAACGCTCTAACTCTGACCATGAAATGCCGCCTTAACATCACTTGGTACTTTTCATTCAAATACTGAGTTTTAAGTATACTCATCAGGCCGATTATCAGCAATCAGCAGTGCCTTCCGTTGATCTAACCAATTTACATCATTTAAACTAAATCTTAGAAAGCATGTAGGTGGTCCCAACGTCCTGATTTGAGCCACAGGTCATTCAAAGCGGCTTTCCAGTAAACAGCGGATCCTCAGAGGTTTTAGATATACAGATGATCGTCCTCTATATGTCTTTCTTGATTTGATTTTTTTTACCACACGCCGAGATAGTACTTTTAACTCGATAGTAATCGAACAGCGATAGTGCGTAAAATAAATAAATCATAACGCTGAAATCGTCTATCATCGCCTAATATTCTCACTTACATAGTCTACCGGTGTAATCGTTACTGGTCGCAGTTGCTGAAGACCATTAATGCCATAGGGAAACAGAAAGATCCAAGCAAATTCTTCGGATTTGATTGCATGTGCAACATACAACAATATTATTTGTTGTTTTTCGCACTGTGCTGTTGAGATTACTTGAAACCTAAAACTCCTCCTCAACAATGGGCTACACGACGTTAATCGGTGCAATTACAGACGTCTGCAAGGGAATATTTTGTGATGTTATTAAAGGCAGGTTTGGAAGTGTGCGGTTTTCAGGAAATAGCTGGGGCTATGAATTGCAACGCACTGTTTCTTCTGCTTCCATGATCTGTGTAGATAGGGGCTCTATTTGCGCTGCATTAACTTGAACAGACAAAGTAGATAGGTAGACATCGATGTAATCCAGTGTAACCTGGGTGCTTCTTGACCCTGTCCCTGTGTTATTCTTACAAACTCATCTATATTGTCACATTAAATAACATAAACCTGCAGTCTTCGCTTGTGCGCCTTTCGGTCCACATGAATGAGAGTCCGTAAAATAGTATTTTCCGTTGTACAGCATGAATCCTAGTGATTTGCTCTCTGCTATTAACACACCTGTCTTGTGATTGTTAAACATTTCCATGAGAGCTTGCTTGAGTTTCAGTCCAATGTTTAATTGGTTGTCTCTGTCATTTAAGCTTCTGAACAGTGCAGATTCCAGATTCAGTTCAGTTTAGGCAAAACGATTTACCAAATGAATCATTATATCAAAGTTACGAACCAGCAAGTAACCATTATTTTGAATGGGATAAGCGGCAGAATCTGATGCAGATAGTGACTTAATCATACTATAGATTTCATCACCCTCTATTATATTCGTATTCGGAATATTAGTCGTCCAACTTGTCATAGAAAGCCTATTTGCTCGAATTATATTTGCTAGCACTATTGCACAACATTGCACACCAGCAAAGCCAGATAATGTCACAAGTTTACCTTGATTCCACGAAGCGCGTACAATTCGTGATGACACATTTATCGTCGTATAAACAGATATCTCCTGTCACGGCTCTACAGTTTCAAGGCCGTTCGGTTGCGGCTCGTTATTTAGTTGTTGTACTTCGTCATTTGGCGGAGGAGCTTCACTCAATCTAATGATATCTTCAGCGTTTAACTGGATATTGTTGTCAATAGTAACATCTTTATAAAGTGGAATATTGGCAATCAACCTTAGTAATGCGTTGTTGACTTATTATCGAGATATTGTGAATTCTCGGGTGACGTTCAAATTATCGAGATGCTCCGTACAACAACAATATTTTTAGCATCGCCAGTAGATCTGGGTAGCATAATTGGAAGTTTTTCAGTTATATCAAATATATCCTCAGCAAAAAGAAAAGCTTGGCCGCGAAATCCAAACGCACGGCTTGATTTAATAACTTTGACGAAGGGAATTATTTTTGATAGATATCTTTGCTCAGCTTGCGATAAATCTACGATTACGTCTGGAATCGGGCCTGGATCGAGATTGATCCAGAATGCTGTTGATGGTAGTAAGTTCTTCTTAGTACTCACATATTTTTTGCAACGATTACATTTAGTAAATATGGTGCATTTTACATCAAAATTGCCCATCGGAGATTTGATGCTGATAGCATCGCTTCGTACAAATTTCACACACTTTGTCACTAAACACATAAATGTTTTTTTCGAAAGTACCAGCTCTAGCTATTTGTGCAGCTTTGGCAGCAGCATTATGCTCATGTAAGTGCCGCAACCATATATTGCGCTCTTCGTCATACGACTGGTTCTTCTTCTGACTGTAATGCTCTTTTTTGAGAGTCATATTCATGCAAGTACTGAAGACGGGCCTGTCACTCTTCTTGTGATTGAGATGGGCGAACTTCAGATATTTGTTCTCTTAACCCTCCAATCTTCATAAAATCCCACACAAACCGCGTCGCATCGAGCACGCACCACAGCATTAAAAATATTAAAATATTAAAACTTATATTTAGAGCCTACTTTTCTATGAAGAAGTTTAGCATTATAAAATCTATACAAAATTTTCTATCCTGTGTTATAAACAAAAGTCAGGTTTTACTTCATTACAAAAAGATTTTATTGTATTGTTATAACAAAAAAAATCATGTCGAAATCCGGCAGCGAGAAAATAACCACTATTTCTATATATTACTCGAAATTATTTTCGTAAAAAGATAAATTATATTCACACAAAAGCTTTAATTACAATTATATAATAAAACACTATACTAAAACACTAGAAAAGTCCAAAAATCAACACAATAACATTCACACGAAAATGGCGTACGAAACGAACGTAGATTATAAATAAATATCCATTAACTAACCAACTTTTTATTCCACTAGAGGATAGAAAATTTCATATTGATTCTATAATGCCAAACTTCTTTACAGATCAAAAATCTCTAAGCATAAGTATTGATGGGTTAAAGTGCTGTTGGTGGGTCATGTTTGACCTCTTGAATTTTGACGGAATATCGAAGCGGTCAAATTTGGACGCTTGCCGTTTGAGAGGTTAAACTTTCTAAACGTTTTTTTCGTTACTCTGGTGTCTCTCTAACACTATATTGTGTCATATACGTTTTTGATTGGGGTTTTTGTAGAGATTTTTCGCTTTGACTGAGTTTTAAGGTTTTTTGTTCGTGTTTTTTCTTTTTTTTGTTGTCTCCTTTTTATTTATGTTGCTGTTTCTTTTTTTGTAGTTTTTGCCAACTAACGCGAGGTTCGTGACAATAAAAATTGCCGATAAAATTACTTAAATTAACACTTTAATTATTTTTCGCAAATTAAAACTAAAAACACTAATAATTAAACACACTAATTCACAATTCCGCTCCGAAGCTTCCTTCTGATTCAACTCACCACGATCGCATCTTGCGCACCTATTTAAAATTAGCAAAGAAATATCCAGAATGTTCAAGCAAACACCGCAAGGTACCGACGTTCGAGTTTCGACTAGGCGCTGTCGGTTGAAACATTTGTGATGTCATTTTCTCAATGCTCCCCTCGCTCTCGTTCCTGACACTAGATGGCGCTAGTTGACTTATTCACGCAACATTATTTTCACGAGTAGTGAACAATTAAACGTTTGATCCCCCCAGAGGTCCGTGTAGAGGGACAAGGCTATTTACAACAAGGTTTCGCCCGGTGACGTTTTAGCTGCACTAATATCTTCCCTTTTAAAAGTCGTAATACACAGTCTAATCATTGAATCTTCATCCATCTTATCACTTTTGTTCTGTATAAACACCAAAACCTTGTCTATAACTAAATTACAATTACCGCACTTTAACATTTTAGAGGTTGAAGAACCGTACATTGCGTCAGCTGGTTTAAACTGTGACATTTTTATAAATTTAAAACGTATATATTATCAAATATTTGAAATGAATTTTATTCGACTTAATCATATTATGAGTTAGTATTTTAATCGAAATTACTGATAAGCGGATTTCTGCTGAAGCGCCAGACGTGAAT